CAGCATTGGATCAGTGTGAATTAGTCTTACCATCCATAGTAAAAGGTTCCGATGGCTTGCGATATCTTCACCCCGATCTTTGTACTTTCCTTGTTCTTTTCCTTTCATCGAGAAACTCGGTATCATTCTCAGTGTTGTGTGGGATATATAGCTCTGAGTTACTTTGTTGAGTGTATCAGTGAATAAATTTCTCAGCTCAGCGCTACGTTGATAGACTAGATTTATCTCTGGCCACCATGATAATTTTGGCGGTGTTGCTATTCTATACAGAGAACTGACAAGAACAAATTGCCAAGTCGAAGGTGCATTTAAATTTAAACAGACTTTTGTTATTTCATCATTATGAAGACGATTACGGAAGCAACTGACAAAACAGTCAATCATCATATCAATATCCTGGGCGATGTAATTTTGTCCACGGGAAAAAGGTTTGGTGATGTTGAATAGTTGTGCAGTTAAGTCGTTTATAACTTGCCGTACTAGTGTAAAAATTACGTTACTTGAATCTAAATTGTTAATGTAAGTAGATGCCTTGCAGAGTTTAACACAAGTAACTATAGCAGCTTCAGTGAGAGATTTACTGGATGATCCACCGTGCATTCCAAGACTTCGTTTAATTCCATCGATGAATTGTTTCTTTCGCGAATGCTTCGGTGAGCAAGGTGCTGTTGTTTTCGCGTTCAATATCTCCTCCAATACCTTTGGTGATAATATCAATAGCATTATCTGCAACGGCCATCCCGCAATATTACGGCTTTTTTTATTTTCCGCATAAGTATCAAGTACATCAAACAGTTCACCGCATACTTTTGCCAATGCATCATTTGATTTTTTTTGAATTTCTTTAGATGTATCGCTGTAATCTAGTTTTTTTTGTACTTCTGCAAATTCATGAGGATAAGTGTCCATCCAATTCCATATAGCGCGTTCCAGTGAATTTACCAAAACTGTATGAGCTGATTTTTTGAGCAGTTTATATTTTTGAACCGTTTCTATTAATGTAAAAAAAAAAAAAAAAAAAAAAAAAAAAAAAATTAAATAAATAAACGTAAATAGGGTAAATGCACCAGTTGTTGACCGGATGTATATTAATTATTATTTTACAATGATTTTTTTTTCTAAGTGTATTAAAAAAACAAAATATGGCAATTAGTCATCATAATAAAAAATTGCGCAGTGATTACAGCTTTAAATTAAAATAAAGTTAAATTATAAGCTTTAATATTATTTTAAGACCGGCCAACTATTGGATCCGCCAAAAGCTAATTCCCCAGTAAAAAATTCATTCGGTCATCTACTGGACCCCCTGATTTTATCACGATCCAATTAATGACCGTATATTTATAATACAAACTTCTTAATCTCAAAATTAAACCTGACAAGTGTTTAGAGCACTTAAGTCATTCAATGTTTTGTTAAATATACTTTTTAAATATAAACATAATTATAAAATGAATATTTATGATATTTATGTTTATAATTAAATAATAATACTTAAAATCTTTTTTGGTTAGTAAATTTTATTTATTGTAATTTTTCTACAGTTATTAAAGAACAAATTATTGGAAGAAAAAATTGCCAAGCAATTAAAAAAAAAGAGCTTATAAAAAAGCTTTAATTGAAAAAAGAAAGAATAAAAAAATCTCAAATGAATCAGAAGAATTATCATCATCAGAATAAATTTGTGATTATTTGTGATCTAAAGAAATATGATTTTAGATTAATTATTACTATTATTTATATTATTTTATAAAAAAAATACGATTTAAAATTATACTGTAAGTTTAGCTCAAATTGCAATATCTGTCAAAGATAAAGTTAATACTTTAAAAGTACTGAATAAATTCAATTACATATATGCAGTTTACAAAACTATTTATGTTTATTTCAGCAGTCAATTAATTGGAGAACGGTCGGTCATTTATTGGGTTTCCTCGGTCAATAATTGGTGATTTTAGTATTTCGACACTTAAATAACAAAATTAATATAATTTTATTTATCAATAGTTGTTAATTATTATCAATTAAGTATTTAACTTCAATAAAATCCATTACAAATTATTTTTAATAAGTTAATAGTTTTTTTATAGCTTAGTAAAAAAAAAAAAACCTTAATCGGTCAATAATTGGTGAATTTACCCTAATTGTGAAGATTAAAAATTAAAATGAATAAATAAATACCGTTTAATATTTGTATAAGTCGATCAACGTCAATGTTGATATGTTGAATCAATTCGATATCACTGCAGTCTGGATTCTCTTCATTACACACTGTCAGCTCTTGAAGGTGATCAGATATCCTATTAAATACTGCTGTGAAAAAGTTTAGACTCAATGCAAATAAAACTTTGCTTGCTAAATTTTTAATATGCACATGTTGTGGACTGTCATTAGAAATATCTAAAAAAAACAATTAAATATTAATATTTAATCAATTGAATAAAATAAAATGAAAAAAAAAAAAAAAGCTTACTGATAAATTGACAAATTGGTCGTAGTAATAATTTAACATTCATAGTCTCATCTTTATTAGAAGTGTCCTTAGGCTGATTAGCCAGACACTGTTCAAGTGTATCCAGAACGATGATGATCGACTCATAGCAATTACGTTCCTGATCGGTGTTGTGAAACGATCGTTGACCTCCTCCAGTGCCTGGCAGTGTGTCGTTGACACGTTGAAGTATTTTCGTCAATCCAGATATTACCAAGGAGAAACGGTGTCGTGATATTTGGATCAAAAATTTTCGATTCTCCTGCTCGTTTATTCGCGAATTTGTTGTCTGAGAACCGGCTCGACATGGCAGCTGAAAAACAAATTATGCTTATTGATTTAGAATAATTCTTAATTAAATGTCACATTTATTTTTATTCATTTAAAAATAATTTAACTACATGTCTGTCATTATTTCCTTAGCAATCATAATTAAATATATCCACGACATCCGCTGCAATCACCGGAACCGCGTGTATGCTGATAATTTATACAGAGAGGGGACAAAATTAGAGGAGAGAGAGAGGATATTTGAGATGTGCTTTCGATCGAATGATACCGACATTTTTTAAAGACAACTATTTACCATAATGATGATAATAAAAATAAGGAAAAAAAAAAGAAAACAATAATAAAAATAAAAATAAAAATTTTTTCACTTCAACGCCTGGATAAATATAATAAATTAATATTGAAAATAAATAAATAAATCTTCAATGATAATAAAACTGTCATTCATAAACCATTTTCAGTAACGTCATAAAAAGATGTCTCACTACTTGAAATGTTAAATTCCACTAAAAAACATAATAAATAAAATAAAATTATAAAAAATAAAAAAAGTGAGTAAACAATAAAAAATATGTACCTCGTTTTCGAAACGCGTAATCAGCAAATTGGCCCATTCTTCCGGTTTTTGCGTGCCCATGGCCCACACCGATGATTATATTTCTCAGTGCCGCTTCATTATCAATAACAACATCATCATCACCATCACCACTACCACCTTACCACTTTGAATGACTTACTTACTGATAACGTGATTAATTATTAAATAATAAATTATTAAACACGATGATAATAATAAATAATAAAAATAATCACGATGATGATGTCGTCATTTGCTCAGAAAGCTAGATGAGCTCTGTGATGAGCTCTTAGCTTGTTATTTTCGTGTACTAGTTAAGTATGTGTATATTGTATGCCAAGCAAGCGGCCAGGCTAGGCAGCCAGCAGCAAGCTGCGATGCCAACCAGCCGGTGAACCAGCAGCCAGCTCTAAAACACGACAGTTGTTGAAAGAGAGGCGCTCTGATCGTCGGGCGAGGTGGACCAAACCACCAGCTACTAGTACCAATAATCAGTATCTACTTATTATATATACTTCCTAGTACTTTGAAGCTATATAATATATTTTAACTTTATTTAAAAGCTATTAGATTTAATATTTTTATTTCTTCATTAATTACAAGTTAAATTACTTATAGTGGTGACTTTTCTGACTGATATTTTAGCTGTTACTGCTACTGGAGATAGTGTTGATGATGCACACACGTATTGTACAGCATATGCCCAACAACATAAAAGCGATGGCCAGGGATGGAGAGATGCCACGGAGGAAGCAAACAACAGCAGAAATCTTCGACCGATACCAACGCGCACATCTCCACGCATTTCCCCTCTACTCTATCATTGAGAGTTGGTTCATGTGAGCTTGCTGTCTCTCTGTCCTTTGTCGAGTTTACTAGTGAAAACGAGCCATCGGCCAATCGCCGGGCTCCATTCCTTCATAAAGAGAATAAATACTATTCTTCTTGCTCTCTTACTCTCGCGTTCTTTCATAGATCTAGCTGGCAATGTGTCCATTGTACATGCACCATTCCACCAGCGTCATTCATAAACTCACTGGCAAATCGACGATTCCCTGGTGTACTTGATAAGACGATCGATTCTGGCACAATCAACAGCTTGAGGTAGACGTCCCACGAGTCACCTTCATTCTTCCGCTATTGACTTTTTTTTTTTTTTTTTTTTTTATTACATACATTAATTTTTTTTTTCATAAGTTGCCTTGTTAAATCGTAAAAATCCACGAGATAACATATTTGTTTCATGCTTTTTGAATAATATACACATGTATAGATATTACAATGTTATTGACAATACAAGGATTAAAAATAAAGCTGTATGGAATTGAAGAGATAGGGTAATATACACATTATCAAATGGATTATGAATTACATGAATTATTTATTTATTTTTCTTTTTATCACTGCTATATATCATTGTTATATATAGCCCCCCATGATATATATAAAGATATATCACTGTATCTGTGAAGATATACATCATTATAATTCATTTTTTGGTATATAGAGGGTAGTGTACATATATACATTAAACTCTGGATGATCACAGTGTTGAAGTAAGAAATGGTCCATTGTTTAAATGTACATATGGATATCCATCATATTTTTTGTTTATACTACGATGATGTTTAATGTTGATCTTCAGTCGACTGTTACGGAGTTCAAGGCACGGATTGTACGTTCGCGATGTTTTTCAATGCGATTAAGATTCTTCGGATCCACATCCGTGATACCGATGCTGAATGAGAAGTAGCGTTGTTGCTGTGAAAACCTAATGATATTCTCACTGGGAATATTTTTGGTGCTCTCTCTGAAATAATAAACAATAGATAGATAATTATAATAATAAAAAAAAAAAGGCCATTCGGCAGCCAAAATGGAAGTAGATTTTACAAATGAAGAAAATTTATTTTTAATAGAATAATGTAAAAAACAAAATTCAATAATAAATTTAAAACTATTTAGAACAAATTTTGGAAAAAAAATTATCTTGTGATGAAAAAGTTTCTCAAATATTTATCAAACAATTGTAAAGATTATAAGATTTGAACTATAAATGTCCAAATTTTAAGTAACTACTTAGGAACAACAGTTTCTAAATTAATCAGAATTTTTTAACCATATAAAATTTTAATTGAAGAAAACAATATTTAGAACTAATTTTTGACATATTTACTGACGACCTTTACCCGAAAACATTACACGAAAGACTGATCAATATCGTAATTATTAAATTTACATCATGATTAAGCTAAGATGCAGATAATAATTCTAAAACGGCTGCAACAGTGAAACTCTTTCATTGAACGAACTCTAAAAGGAGTAATATTGAGACTATTACCACTTCTGAGTTGTGAAAATTGAACCTTATTAATAGAGCTTTACGATGCATTTTACCGAATTTTAATATCTTGTCTAGTTCAGTAATTATACCAAGTTGAAGTAGTAAAAACATCAATTTTTACAATTTTCAAAATTTCAAAATCCTGTCATTTCCAAATTACTCGCCCGATTAAGCTCATCTTTGAACTTAACCTTGGTCTTGATCGACAGATGAAGCATGTCGAGTTTGAGAAGAATCGATTATAAATTGAAAACGCTATCGTGCTGACAAGCCACGTTATATCGTATAAATACATACATATATAAACTTTTGAACGAACTACATTTTCTGACTCAGTTCAACAAACTGAGTCAGAAAATGGCTAAATTTTTTAAAAGTTGTGCCATGAGGACGGCTGCAATAGTTAAATTTTTATAAAATCTACTAATAATAAAGACAATGATAATTATAATCAATATATTGACAAAGCTAAATAATTAAAAACTTACAAATCAATTTCTCGGAAGGACAGAAGTATAGAACAGTCTCGAGCGATGCTAAATAATAAATAATTATGCAAAAGTGCAATTTGAGTTGAATTTAATGTCTCGTCATTACAAATACGATCGCTGGTGCTAGTTGTGGAAGTGGAGGATGGTTTTGTTGTCTCGGTACTTGAAAAATAAACCATTTGTTCGTCCACAATCGATGAATACTTTGAATAGATTGCATAAATGATATCGCTGCTGATACAATGCAATTGTTGCATACGATAAATACGATTTAGTACCGAGCCCCGAGGTAAATTTCCACTTGAAAAATCACATGCCTAAAAATAACAGTATGATACACATAAATGTAATAAAATAAACATAAAAGTTGAGTTAAAAAAAAAAAACATTAATTGCTTAGTAATTATATATGATTATATAATTGTATGAGTAAAACAATATTTAAAACAGTTTGAATTAATGTATACCTCTTTAAGTAAATTAAAATTTATTTTTGCTTTATTTATCATCTCACGATCGAGTTGATGCTGGTGTTCCACCAGAACCGGTATAGCTTGAACTTCTTTAATTGGATCCAACAAGGAAGTAGGACCATCATCATCATCATCACCGTTGCCTACGGGAAACTCACGAAGTAGCGCTTCAGAAAGGAGGTAATTCAAATCCTCATAGAGCCGTTGTATATCGTGAGACGAGCCATTTGAAAACCATTCGGCTAGCAACCGCTCCAATTCCATACGCTCATATCCCTCAGCCCAGACACGTTGGCCATTTTTAAAGACGATAAAATTATTCTGCGGTGATTCTACTAGTCCATCAATTGCACGTTTCACTCTACTTCTATCACCAGAAAAGAGGTCACATGGACAGTAACCACTGCGTCTTGATATTATCCTCTTAGCGAGCTAAAATCAACAACAATACATTTTATTTATATATAATATATATAACCCTTCATAAATAGAAGTAATTTAATTTCTATTTATATATATATATATATTGTTATACACGTGATAAAAATAACAAGTATTGTAGTTAAAAATAAACTGTAATAATAATAAAAACCTTATAAAATTGATTAACGCAGTAGGGACATTTTTGTACACGTCGGTCTGTTTCAGGAACGAAGCCTTGTTTAGGTTTTATCTCAATGCAAAATGTTGGCTTCTCGCCTCGTGTGTTTCCCTCAAGTTCTAACGGCAATAACGTGTAATCTGGAAGTATAATCCCATATTCCTCGAATAAACTTTTGTGACGACGATAACCTGTGGTGTTAAAAAAATAATAAATAATTATGAACAATTATATAAAAATAGGATAATTATTTACAAGTGGAGTCAGCCGCATTTTGGATCATAACTAGGTGAAAAATTATAATTTAAAAATTTTTTTTTTTATTTTGCTTGTTTTTATGGATTTATGATAATAAATGTCGTAAAAGGAAAAAATATAGATTTCAATAGCTTTTTTGTCTTGAAAAGTTGGAAAAAATTTTGGCTCTCATGTTTTTAGATAAAAGTTACATTTTATCTTTTTTTGAAAAGTACATAAAAAAACAAACAATTAAAAAAAAAAAAAACATTGATCAATTTGATCAAAAAAAAAAAGACCATTCGGCAGCCGAAATGGAAGTAAATTTCACAAATAAAAAAAAGCGTGTTTTTCATAAAATGATATTATTAATAATATATAACTTCTGTTACAATAAAATAATGACATCAAAACGAATGAAAAAGTAAAATTTCATTAGATCTGTCTGAGAGTGGGTAATTTTTTATCTAGGTTGATGGTGTATGAAAATTGAAGTTTATTTAATAAGCTTTCAGATGCAATTTACAGAAATTTGATAGGATATCGCGTTCAATTGTTATTGCACTGAAATACGGTAAAAGTGAGAATTTTTGTGATTTTCAAAAATTTTTGAATTGCTGTCATTCCTAAACTATTTAATTTAGAAAAACAAATAAGTATGCAAATTAAAGCTTATTAAGTAAGCTTTCAGATGCAATTAACAGAAATTAATGATGATATTCCGTTTAATTGTTATTGCACGGAAAAACGGTAAAAGTGAAAATTTTTGTAATTTTTGAAAATTTTTGAATTGCTCCCATTTCTAAACTAATCGACCGATTTTGCTCATCTGCGAACTTATAACCTCGCAAATCGTCGTAAGAATGAGTATGTTACATTGAGATCGGTACAGAATTGCGGGAGTCAGAGAAGAGACAAAGCCGGTTATATCGTATATATATACATACATATATAAACTTTTCAACCATATACATTTTATGAATCCGCTTGACGAGCTGATTCGAAATTTAGCAAAATTTTTGAAAAGTTTCGTCATGAGGACCAATGCAATAGTTAGATTTCTATGAAATCTACTAAAAAAAACATTAACATATGGGCTAGCATGGATTGATCTCACTTGTAAATAATTACTAAAAAATAGAAATGATTTTTTACCTGAGCGATGAGATTCGACGTTTTTATTCCAATGTGGTATGTCTTTTGGATGGCATTTAAAAATTTTTGGCTCCTTTACAAAATTACCCAGGTACTTAGTAATTATTTCCTTGTAAAATTTGTACTCATATTCAACTCGTGATCTTCCACCATCGGGCGATAACTCCTCCGTTGATTTTATTTTACGAAATCGCAGCACGCTTCTGGCCTGAAAATTTTTACAAATGTCATTCCCTTTCACCCGTTACTTTACTGGCATTGTAATGAGCCAATGTAATGTATAAAGTTTACATATATGTTCATACACTTTGTACAGTCTATATATTTATATATATAACGTGTTTGTATAACCGTTATGAAAGAGAAGAAATTTTTTTAGTAACTTTTTTTAGTGATTATTATTATTATCTATTGAATTTAATATTATTTAAAAACTATTTTTATTTATAATTTATAATTTAACAGAAAGCTGTATAAAATAATCGATAGTGGTTCTAAACCCGTCCACAGGCTATATACGCTGACGTGGTAGTCATCGCCTGAGTGGTCTATTCCATGCGTCATGTATGCATTTATCAAGCCGAGGCAGTAGAAGTAGCAGCTTTGTCGCCCCATCGTCAAAATAGATTTTGCACTAAAAGGACTAAAAGGCGACGGCAACGGGTGTTTCTCAGAGAGACTCAAGGGCTTTTACGTAATTCCACAAAGTGAACACATATATGTATTTATAGACTTATAACTCTTTCAATCCTGTCTTTTTAAAGCTTAAAAAAAAAAAAAAAAAAAAAAATTATGTATAAAACTTACAGCAGGTAATGATATGACCAAGTTTGCATTTCCTTCTCCGCGATAGCAGTATCCATCGATACCATCTAATTCACGTACTTCCATCACGCTTATCACGTTCATCCGCTATTTATAAATATGTTCAGTGTGGAGAATAACTCTCTTTCACGTTGTTGTCAACTGATGGCCATTTTGGTTTATTCTCAATAACACCCAATCCATTTTGTCGTTGATGCTCTGATCCAGCCACAACTGTAAATTTTTGATATCATTAATTAGTTTTATTATGCAAACATATTTTTATTTAATTTTAATAATAATCACAATCTGGCAATAAAGTCTTCAAATTTTTAGTTTGGATATTATTAAATTTTTAATTTTTAATATTTAAACGAGTGAAATGTGAAAGTATAAATCTTTACCTATTAAATTTAATTAAATTAAAGGCAAAGTGCAACTTAATTTTTAAATCTTCAATTTCAAATTTAAATAAAAACTGATGAAAATTAATTATGATGATAAATTTAGCAGATATTTGATAATTTTTAGAATTTTTTTTTTACAAATAAATTATGGCAAAAAAAAAAAATAAAATAAATTGACATGTAGAAATTTTAAAAGATTAAAAATGCAATTTTTTAAAAATAATTTTTTGGAAGAAATTTTTCTGTTAAAAAAAATTAAAAAATTCTCCAGTGACTGCTAACTTTAATGTCATAAATTAATTTAGCAGATATTTGATCATTTTAAAAATTTTTTTGACTAGTAAATTATGGCACAAATAATTATAAAAAAAAAATTGACATGTAGAAATTTTAAAAAATTAAAAATGCAATTTTTTAAAAATAATTTTTTGGAAGAAATTTTTCTGTTAAAAAAAATTAAAAAATTCTCCAGTGACTGCTAACTTTAATGTCATAAATTAATTTAGCAGATATTTGATCATTTTAAAAATTTTTTTGACTAGTAAATTATGGCACAAATAATTATAAAAAAAAAAATTGACATGTAGAAATTTTAAAAAATTAAAAATGCAATTTTTTAAAAATAATTTTCCGGAACAAATATATTTGTCAAAAAAAATTAAAAAATAATCAAGTGACTGCTAACTTTAATCTCATTAAAAACTGCAATTTAAATACTATTCTGTTATCTGTGCAATTGAAAACTAAGAGACCTAATAACACTAATACTATTATATTATTCTTATACTAATACTTAATTATTATTAGCACCTTTGAGTGCACATGTACTATTATTATTTTTGTAACCTTATGGTCATCAGGGGACATAGTCCTGCGATCAATTAATAAAGCATTAAATTATTATTATTACTATTAATAATAATAAATTAAAGTATAAAGGACAAATGTTGATTAATTCTTAAGGATATAACATAAAATTTATTTAGACTTTGAAGGACATACCATTGATAGTGTTAAAAATATTGATAAGTATGATAGAGATGAATAGCAAGTGGATGTAATGGCAATTAAAAAACTATCAGAATATTAAATGAAGATAGTAATGAGACAGAAATTGAAGACATTGATGTCTAGTATGTATAATAGTTGTAGCGAGGCCAAATGACAAGAAACCGAGGATACTCTGACGGCCAGGGCAACAACCGCCGTTGACCTCACTATCCGTTGCTCCAACAACTACAACAGCGTGGAGTGGTATATATGATGATTCTGCGTGCGCTTGTAGGTCGCTCGAACATTTGCTCGATCGATTCTGAACATAATATTAAAGACTATCGCGTATCGTACTTTGTGTAGATAAAACTTTTTTTCATCCATATATATGTACTGTGCATAAATTTATCTATCCATACTTTGTTTTTTCAATTTTTATCTATACTCATCAATCAAGTCGACGGATCCAGGAAGAAATGAGAGGGTGTGGTGATAATAAATGAATAAATAAATAAATAAATAAATAAATAAATAAATAATAGACATTAACAATTATTTTTCGTGAAATTCCATAAGCACGAGGCCTTTGTTTTTATTATTATCTCTGTACAAAAACAGTCGAAAAAATTATAGATTTTTTATTATTTTCTTCGATTAATTAATTTTTTCGAGCTCACGGCATATATGTACAAGCGGGAAATTATAGTTTTGTAACTTATTAACTAAAAATATAATTATACATTGATATTATATAGATGTAATTTTATATATATATATATATATTTTTTTTTATATATAATATAATTATAGTTATAATAATAATAAAAATAATAATATAATAATAGTGAACCTACATATCTAAGGATTCGAGTGTTTCCTCGTGAGTCTGCTGCATGTGTTTGTTTTTGTTTTGTTGTCATTACAAACGAGTAACAGAATTTTTAGTTTTTTTTTTTTGTATCATAAATTGGTACAAAATCACGGATAAGAATTTTTTTTTACAATGATTGTTTAAAATAACAATTTGTTCTATAGTAGTTGTACAGAAATATGGAAACGAGTACTATACTCTAATTGAAAGATTTGACAAATAATTATCTTGATTGACAATAGAGTTTCTGACTTTACAATGATATCTACACTATTACATACTATGTTTTGTATTTGTTTCAATTTAAATTAAATGTTTAAAATATTGGGCGCTCCTGTATATTTTAAATATAACATTTAACAGAACATTACACTCACTACTTCGTAACCTCCCGTATTTTAATTCCCTTCCCCACCGACCGCTCGCAATTATTTTAAAAACGACTCTCATACATTGAAAAAAAATTTTTTTTTTCTAACAATTTATTTTCTGTCATCCCAGCCGACTTAAAAATTTGAATAAAAAAAAAGGAAAGAAAATTTGTTAAGTAAAAGAGAAAAATGCATTCATTTCGTTCGATTATACATCTATTTTTATGTCATTGACGTATTAAATCAGGAGCAGATTCAATGGAAGTAGCTCATCGAGTGTGACGGACTGAATTATTGAAAATTCATAAAAAAAAAAAATAAAATAAATACATATTTTCATTTCAACGTTGATAAATTATAGTATTTCAATTCGAAGATAGAAATTAAAAAAATAAAATACAATCGAATTGATATTTTTTTGGCGACTAAATGAATGGTAAAATACTTTACAATTGATGACTTTAATGCAAAAAATTAAATGAAAAAATATTATTTTCTTGAAAAATTAATTAAATACAGCCATACATAAAAAATGCACAATGAAAAAATTCATAATCACACGGTACGACCAATGATAAATTAATTAATTAAATTGTACAATTGGTGGTAGCATTTATATACTTGACTATACACAATTAAAAAATTATAATAATTAATAAAATGTATTGACAAAAAACAAAATTATGACTTTGTTTATTATTTTTTGTAATGTATTGTATAATTCACGCCCCTCATGTCGTCTCTATCACGTAATAATATATCACACCCCTGATTAAAATCCAACGTCGTATTCGTCACATTATTTTGTGTAGATTTTCATTTAACAATATATATATAGAATTTTATTATTTTTATTAAATTCATCATTCGCAACTAGTACGCAATTATATCAGACTTATATTCCGCATTTAAAATTCATCATCACATACATTCTCATACTCTTTTCTTATAATCTTCGTTCGCAAACATTGCTATTGTTTTAGTTTATTTGTTCCTTCCTTATTTATCGTTTCGATTTTGTCTCGTTTTTTTTTCTTATTTTATTTTTTTTTATTTTAAAAAAATACTGAATTAACCAAGCTAAAATCACAGACTTGCTGGCAACATCCCAGCGGGTTTGTACAAATTCTTCCTGAAGGACTCTACGTATAATTACAAGATCTGAGAATATGTATATATGTATAATAATATTCTCATATATTTTTTCCTTTTATTTTTCGTTAATTACAATAAATTCATACACGTAAAATTAAATCATCCTCGCACGCCGCATTTTTTATCACTATTGCAGTATTAAATATTTGATATAATATCTTAAAGATATCGAATCAATTTTTTTTCATCCACTTGTCGTATCAGCATTAACTTTTTACATATGTATACATATATATTCGTTATTTTTTTTACATACCTACTAATTGTGTTTCGTATAATATAAAAAGACCGAAAAAAAATGCCTTTGCTAAAAAAGTAAATACATATAAAACACGTACGTACCGTCTGATTTTTTTTTTTATTTTAATTTTTTTTTCAACTTTTTTTTTTTTTTTATTTTTAATTTTTACTTGAAAAATTTTTCGCTAAAAGTAAATCCAATATCGAAATTGTAAAGGAACAAAATTGAATAAAATATTTATAAATAATATTGTTATTTACAGATTGTTTTTTTATTTTGGACAGGTCCAAATTAAATAAAATTTATTTTATCTACAAAATAAACGGTGACGTACGCGAGTTTGTAAATTATTTTGAAAAAGTAAAAAATACATTCATAAAAAAAAATATTTATTCATATGTGTATAAAAATATTTTAAAATATATTTTATACACATATTTATATTTTAGCGTGCGTACGATGACATCAGTTCAACCATATAATGATTATTATTGTAATCGACTCGTAACCGGCGAAACAGGACGAATCAAGTTTGGAAATCGCTACGTGCACATATTTTTTATCATCACATAATTTTAAATTTGATAAATGTATATATATATCTATAATTTGAATTTGTTTTCCATTTATAATAATTATCAATATTTAAATACATATATACTTTACATAGATTTTAATTTTTTAATTATTTAATATGTATATGCGTTATAAGTTTGTCAATCGCACTTAATATTTCAAGATATTAAATATTGTCTTTCTGTTTAAATCTCTTTCTCTCTCTCTCTTTCTCTCTTATTTTTTTTTTTTATCTCATACACCCTCTCTCTCTAACATTTCTTTCTTATGTTAATGATAATCACAGACGTTGTTTATAATTGCTACGTACACAGCGCTTTCGTCCACCGGCGTACGTGACGATTTTTAAAAAATATGTGTGAAGATGTTGACAATTATTTTTCATCGGAACGATTAATCTGCGAACGCAAAATCAATCTTTGCACATACTTTTTAAACATTCATACCATACATTAAAAGTCACAATCATCCTAAATTTATTCATCAAAACA